AATCTTCCCTTAAAATCTGACGTTATTGACTCTATTGACGTTTCGGACACCTGTAGTCACGTCTAAAAATTTTCATCTCGTAGTATTCATTGTGTTAATTTAAACCGGTATCGTATCTATTAGCTACCCTCAACAGCCTTCTAAAAGAAACATTTTCGGGAATTTTCGCTATGGAGATATCCTTTAGTTGACTTGGACGAAAGCTAGTTCTTTCGGGAATACCTATTAGGGACAGATCTTCAAGCGAAACATTTTCGTCTCTGTCGGACGAGAAATTCGTTTCTCCTGCCCTCAAACGTCGTTACATGTGATGATATCCCATTACACTACTAAAGCATTAATTATTTAAGCGGCATGACAATCTGTCATTTATGTCTGTTGTCTTGTCAATAATAGCAAGAGTTTAATTAAGAGTGTAAGATAGCAAGAGTTTAATTGAAAGCAAGTGCATAAGAATCTAATTAACAGTGTTACTAATCTTAAGGCAGAAGATTTTGACATGAGAAATGTCTTTTGTGGAATCTTTATATTTTTTAGGGAGCCATTCCATTATATTTCTTAGCATGTCATTTATCATTCCCATGATCTAAGAAATATGGGTAATGCCATTCAAATGTATGATTTTAATTTTTGTTCTTTAAAATTCTGTTTTATATCGTTGTATACAGTTCATAATTTCTCTCCACCATGCATTTCGTTTCGAAAATAAAAAGTACAATTTTTTATGCAATGCATTTTACATTTTAACAGCATTCAAAATAGCTTGGTTTTCTGCAGTAAATTATATTGCAATGTATTAAAAAACTACAATGCAGCATTTGGATAACCTTCCTGAACGTGTATGTTGAATTTAAGCGAAACAAATCTAACACGTTTGGCACATTTTAACTTAAACCGAAATTACAATAGATTTACTATGTTCGGCGTTCAAAATTTTAAAATATGCGAAAAAATGTGAGGGATAAGTAATTCCAATTTACTATATTTCGCATCAAAGTTTTTCGTTTAGTTTATTCCTGATTTTAAAATATTATTTTATAATTTTTTACTAAAAAGTAATCTGATTTAAGATGAAAAATAAACTTGATAAATTTACTTAAAATTTGACTCATAACATAGTATTACATGAAATAAAAAATCATTACATTTTACTATTTTGTTTCCTCCTAAATGGCTCACATATCTTGTTTTTCTCTACCACCATTAAAACTCGCAAGCGGCTGAGATAAAAAGGTAGTTGTATACTATATAGAAGTTTTCATGATATTTTTCTTGTGTAAGAAGAATATGAGCCAGTTTCCCTTCACAAGTCCTTCACGAAAGCATTTCGTTCCTTAGATAGACAACTTTCGAGAGTTTTGCTATAGTGCAAATAATAATAATCATAACAAAAATAACAACAAAAATGATAATAATAACAATACAATAATATAATAATAATATAATAATACTAATAATATATAATAATAAATAATAATAATATAATAATAATATAATAATAAATATATATAATACTAATATACTACTACTATACTACTACTACTACTAATAATAATAATAATAATATAATGTTGCGTGCGTACTGATTCGTAATAAATTGAATGCACATCTCCGATAAAAAGTCAATAAAATTTATTCTTATTACAAGAAATAAAACAAAATGCTTTAATGTTTCCTCACAGATATTCATACAATATCACACAGTAGTTATATTTTAAACTACTAAAACGTTAAACGGAACTCAATCCAAAACGCAGAAAAATCTAATCCGATCTCGCCGCGAATTCGCTACAATCAACAACAAAAGCTTAGTAAACAACTGAACAGAGATGTTTTTCTCCGGCTTTTATAAGCTTTTTAATCAGTCACGAGAAGCTTCTCGTAATTTCTCGAAGTTTCTGGAAAGCAAAAGAGTAGAACTACAGTTACAGCTAACACACAGAATTGCATTATTTCAATTTAAATATAAATTACGAGATATCGATTTATTAAATGCGCGTGCTTTTGTATTTTTACTTTTTCCTCGTAACTTTCTCTTCTGCATTACACGGGGAAGTAAACAAGTTTAATTACAGTTCTACCAAAAATAACTAACTAAATACAAAATCAGTAACAATAATAATAATAGTAATAACCCATATCCATTAGTTCGAAAGTATAATTTCACGCACTTCAGACTGATGCTGGATTTAGAGGAAACGTTAGTACATTTTGGAATAGGCTATTTGGACTACAGTAGAGCATATGAGAGCCTGCATTTACGTTGTACACGAGGCAATTACAGAAATTCTCATACAACCACCCGCTCACCAGAAATAAAACCTGGGTCGAAATACCAGTATGCAGTGATTTTACAATTCGACCGCTGGGAACTCCATTGCCTTTTGGGAAAAGACTGGCATGGATTTTTAGTTCTTCAAGAAGCAGAGGATGCCTTTTCAAAATTTGAAATTCGAAATTTGCATGTGCCTTAGCAAATTTTAAATTGCTATTATATCGTTAGGCTCAAATTACGCGAGTTGTGTGTATGTGGGGAGAACTCAAGCTAATTATCAATCAAAGCTAACCCACGCATTATTTTAATTACAGTTCTATTATCAATCAAGCACCAATTATCAATCAAGCAATATCACCAATTATCAATCAAGCACCTCAAGCTAACCCACGCATCTGCCAAGTTCATTAATTATCATGTCGTTATGTGTAATAATAATGTGGTTCATTATTAATATAAGTCACCATTATATTCTACCTAAGTTTTTAGCGCCGATCTCTGATGTTTGTAAATTTTACAGCCCGGTACCTCCAAAATTTTGCCAAACTGATAGCACTGACACTGCTATTTTGTAGCGCAGATATGTATGAAGTACCGAATAAGTTAAAAAATGGAGGAATGAAGAGCTGGGCATAACTTTCCTTCCGCATTAGAGGGTAATCAGCTAAAGACTTGAAATATAAAATGAAAAACTTCCTTAATATTGAGCTCATCACGAAAGTTAACATTTTTATTGCAAGAAAATGATGTAATTTACACTGACATCCACAGGTACAAATAAAACATGCAGCCTTAATCTCTACTTTCAAAGGTACCTTCAAATTCTCTATAATATTTTAAATATTTAAAATTAATAATAATCATAATATTTAAAATATTTAAAATAAATAAAATAATATTTAAAATTTTAAAATTAATTTCTATAATATTTAAAATTTGTGAAGATTAACGCAATTGTTTGAAATTCTAGCTCTTGAAAATATAAAATCAGCAGTAGGAAAAAGTATTAAACTTGAGGTTTCTGTACGCTGAATTTAAAAATCAGATACTGGATCTTTATCTGTTATTGTTAGTAACTAGCGATAATGTTTATTAAAAAATGTTCAGTAGAATTGGTACAACGATTAAATTATTATTGTATGCAAGGCCTAGATAAATCTAAATACAACTGTTTCTGCCTAGATGAGAGGTTCGAATCCCGCGAACGGGCTGGCTGCATGGGTGTTTTCGGGGTTTTTCCCCATGTGTAACATGCATACGAGCTAGTTTGCCTTAGAAAGTCCTCCACAAAGGCATCCCTCCCTTTAGGCAGATAGCCCTCGTGTGCTTTGTCATAATTAAATAATCCAATCCAATCGAATTCTGCTTAGATGGAGATCGGATTGTGAAATGAAGTGAAGGTGACGTAAACTAATATAATGAAATAAAACCAAACTGTTGCAGACAAGATCAAAAATTTAATTTTAAAGGAAAAAAAAAAATTTCCTGTTTGGTGAAATATTTTATATGAAATGTACTTTACACAAAATGTAAACAAGCAAACAAACGTAAGTTACTTGATACTTTGATATCAAGTAACTTACGTATGTTTGTTTGTTTACGTAAGTTACATATACTATATTGAAAATGCGGAAGAGATGGCCTTTGTACCATATTTTGGCCAGAGCCCCTAGTTTTGTTAATCACAATTGCGAAATTTATTTTTCAACGTTTGTGACACTATTATTTATCTGATTAAGAGCTTTTATTTGTATTTCCTCTCACTAGATGGCACTAGATCACTAGATCTCACTAGATTTCCTCTCACTAGATGATGAAATCGAATGAAAATATTTGGTTTTGCAGAGAAAAGGGAATATGTGAGAAAAATGTTAAATATGATTAAAAAGCGGTAACGTTGTTTTAAAATAATATAAACAAAAAGAAAGACTGGAAAAGAATTAAAAATTTGGTATATTTTCTTCAAATCGTAGTGTATTATCTGAAAGTGACATTTGCAATACAAAAAAATGTGAATCCAGTAAATTACTGAAGTCGATTTTTTTAATCATAAAAAATGTTTGATAGAATATCCGTGTGATAATCAATTAATCCGTGTGATAATCCATTAATATTAATTAAAATATGCAAAATATAACCTTTATTTAAAAATATATATAATGAGAAATATTAATTCACTGATATGTATGACATGTAAACTAAAGTAAGTGAAAGTGATTTCAAGCACAAAACAACTTTAAACTATACTCCTAAAAAAAAAAAAAGAAAAACTTTCATAATTTAATTGGAATTAAAATCTTAATAATCGATCACAATGCATGATCTACGACAATTAATGTATTGAATATCTAACTACAATGAATTTCCTATTTAACCATACTTTATTGAACGTTTCGTTTAGTTTCGCGCTAGCTGGGAAAAACCCTAACCGAAAAAAAAAAAAAAAAAAAAAAAAAAAAATCGAAGATAAAATATACTAAGCACAGGAAAGAGGACCAAAATACTAAAAAACGCTAAATCGATAATTATACTTGATTCGCTATAAACGGAATCTACGCTAATGTTCATATACCAACAGGATTTTTGTCATCCTTCACGGTCGATGGGATACTGCGTAAGTACTGTTTTTCCATACATATCCAGAAAATGTTAAATTTTACCCAATAGATTAAAATAAATCAAATTTTCTTAAATAACATTTAAATGAGAAAAAATTGACACAAACTGCAAACACAGAATATCTTTATACAGTTTTCAAAAATATATTACATATTTAAAACATGCCATTGGAAGCACATTTTTGGCTCATCAGTTCTTTCATTTATAGAAGAAACATACATCTGATCAAGAGGTAGCAAAAGGAATCACCTAATTTTTTTCAAGTGTAATAATACATTAATATACTCGAATGCATGGCACAGTTGCTAGTAAGATAAATTTATTCTCCTAAAATCCAAAATATGATTCTAAAAGCAAACAAAAATATAACTTTCTATAACAGTTGTGTTTATATAACAGTGTATGTTATTCGCAGGTGACTTTCGCAACCAGCTGTATTTCTCAACAGATCTTGTAACCGCTTTACATAATCCTTCACAAAATTCATTTATGGGAAAACATTTGCAGTATTTAAATTTTCCTTTAGGATGGGAATCGATTTACTCAATGTCATATTTAAGTACATTCGATAGCAGTGGGTAAAAGATACACAGTCCATATTTAAATCATATAAATTTTTACCACCATTCTTTCCCCCTTTAATTTTCTTTGAATAGATCGAGTTTCTGTAATATTAGGAGAAATTTTGGAGCAACAAAATGTTATGACAACTTCCATGGACATAAGTTGCCGATAGGTAAGATTGATCGATTGGCAACCAACTTCAGTGTAAACTGATGCTTCCATTCCAATCAATCTCGCCCTTTTAATGCTCACATCCAACTCAGTGGTATGACTGACTCGGATGCTAGTGTTCTTGTGATTCTTTGCTTTTGCTTTTCGATTGGTGGAACTATTAAGCGTAGTTCTTCATGTACAGGAACATTTTAAGCTAGAATAAGAAGAGGTTGCTTCTATCTTTCTGTTATTTCAAAAGTTACCGAATGTTAGAGATCCTTGAAGCTTAATCTCATTAACAAATGCGACATGCAGTAAGAAATTCTTCTTCGAAACGCGTTCTCATAGAACTAATTTGACAGTTAGGTTTTCAGTCGCAACATTTCACAATAATGTGTTTCGTGTAGATCAGCCAATCGTAATGGAAAAAGAACCTAAATTACGAAACTGAATTATATAAAATTCCTAGAAGCAAAGAGTTTTCGAAATACTGTGGGACGAGTTGTTGAAGGAAACTATTGTCTGGTTTGATAGCGGCTTTGCAAATTATATGAATATTTGGTATGAATTTGTGCAAGTGTCCAGTGATACTAGAAGGACCATGGCCAATTTTATGTTATTTACTTTGACGTATGCTCCGAAATTTAATATGGCCTATTAAGTTAAGCCTAATTCCACGAGCAACCAGGTAAGAATTTTCATTTAAAAATTTCACACATTAATTACATATACGTTTTCGATAATTGATGAAAATAGTTTCTTGAATCATCAAAAAATTATTAAATTAAAGTTTAGAAAATTATTCAGAAATAATTTTAAGAATAAAAAAGCGCAGAAATTCTCAGAATAAAATGAAAAATATCAAGTTATGAAAACGTGTTCTTTATTTATGAGAAGGTATTTTGTGACCCGATATGAATTATGCTAGTAGTGTTATTAATGGTAACAGTTTGATTTGGTTGATTACGGCAAATCACGCGGGGGCAACTTACCTTATTTTGCACAATAATAATTATGACAATGTTTCTTCAAAATCTCTCCTAGGGTAACGTGAATTGATTATTACTAGTACTGCAAAATTCTTAATTTTTTCAATTTATAAATCTGAGTGAATATCGATAGAGCAATGCAAAAATCACAAATAAAAATTTAATGCTGACCGAGCAATATATATGGACTTATGAATAAAAAGAAGATAACTGATGACATATATTGATTGTTATATTTAAACAAATGATGATATCGTGTACGTATTTCAAGAACGGTTTAGCCATTTAATTAATAAAAGTGAAATCTTCATATAACATGAAACTCCTACCCCTAGTTTTATCAAAAAAATGCGTTTACTAGCACTTTATGTCCTTTCCAAAGCAAAAATGTCTGAGCTAATTTACCTCTAATCCTTTGATTAGAGATTTGTCAGAACACTGATATGGTTCAAGATAAGATAATCTCTTTTACCTCTTATCTCTATACTTAAGATGCCATTTTATCCAAAACATTTCAGAAAAGCATAGTCCTTGGGCATATTATAGGCATAGTCCTTAAAACCAGTATTTAGTGAGGTGAAATGTTTGACTGAAAATTGGTACGATATTTTGAAAGACTATAAATAAAATTATATTTATGAGAAGACTTTTCGTATATATATTTAAAAATGATGAGTAATTTCATTTTAAGAAAATGGGCCTCGGTATTTCAATTGAAATAATCAAGGTACCAAGGCTTACAAAATATTTCTCTAGGAAATAAAAAAGTCATGCGATGAAACTTAAAAATATAGATGCTTAAAATCTATACTGTTATTATATTCATAATACTTTCAGTGTCTTTCATGATTATAGGGATCATGAACAGTAAAATCTCCTCGAAAGAGTGTAAATTAGCTATAGTTTTATAACTCATTAGCAATTAATGTGCATAATACGAAGAAAGTGGAGGAGTCAAAGACAAAAAATACTTAAGAAACAGTATCAATTGCTTTTATAATGTTTCACAACTATCAGTACTTATTAAAAAAATTATACTAAGACTTGATTGAATTAGTATTTATCAAATCAATAATTTTTATTTCATTTTCGATATACTTTTATTAATACAGATAATTCCGTTTACTGATATTTACAAATCAAAAAGTGAGTATTATTTTTTTAATGAAATTTCCCCACAACACACTCTCATGATGTTTTGCTTTAGCTTCACTCTACCAGGACATTCTGAAAATCTATATCTTGATCTTTGATGGATCCTTGTTCTCGGGTTTTTTTAAGGACTTCATATTATAACATCCTTAGGACATCTCATTTTAGTTGCTACGTCCTGGGACACTTGAAGATGGCCTAAAGATGCCAATTCTCAGATGGTATTGAGGACTTTGTCATTTAATATCCTGAAAATTTGCGGTGAAGTACCGTTGTTACATTCTGAGAGTGTTTATTATCAGTCTTTTAACAAGTTAGGTTTTTCTAATTTGCTCGAGGATGTCATGGGCACATATTGATATTAAGCCCTCAGGAGGATGCGTTAAGAGAATAATCTAGGAGATTCCAAGAACAGAGTAAGTAGGACATAACATACTCTCAACATTCCATCTCTGTTCAAGGATCTCATCTGGGATGTCCTTGAGGATAAACTGTGTGATGGAAAGGACACTGGAATTAAACACTCGGGAAGATTTATTTAGGAATTTATGGGCATATCCCGAGAAGTCCTAAGGAGCTCTGGGAGTTTGCTTATCTCGTGCGCAACATCTTAAAGATAACCCAAGCAGGATTTTGTACTATTTATGCTTAATGGTATGCTAAATTAGCATCTTCAAGATGCTTCAGCATGATATTTCTGGAAGTTAAGGAAGCTATTTAAGGGAGAATTTTGAATGCATCTTATTTTAATTTTACTCATAAACTTCGTAGCATTTATTACCTTCAATTTTTTTCCCACTGAAGCATTTGTATTATCATTGCCTTCACGCTTACCATAGCAACAAAGGTTCTCGAAAACTTTTGATCTGTATCTTCCTGTCGGACATCCCTATCGTACGGGTCTAAGTATTTCGCCAGAGCGTCAACGAGGGTCTTACTTCACATACTTGTACAATAACTCATAGTTCCACGGTAGCGCGATTCTCTCAAGTGCAAAGAATTAAGCTAACCAGCGAAATAAATACAGTTTTAGCTTTAAGATATGCGACAAATAAAAATGATTAGGCAACAAAAATCTCTAAATATCTTTACATACATTAACACTTGTAAACATTTCATCTGAATGTCACTTTCTTCCAAAGACTTCACTTTAAGACTGAATAACTTTTAAATAATTCAGAGAAGGAATTAATGTTATTTTCCAACTTAAGCAATGCATAACTAAATTCAAAACAATACATAAAGTCCTTAGAAATCATTCAGGAAGATATTTGCTGAATCATGCAGAGAAATCAGGGACGTTTTTCCAGTTTCAAATAATTAATTCATAATTAATCTTTGGAAGTCATTCAAGAAGAGTTCTCGTACAGGATTTCCGGCTTCAGACAATCAAAATGCGCACATAAGGGCTTTTGCTTACAGTATTTAAATACAATCATGATGTATAGATATTACTAAAACTGTGAAAAGATTTGTAATTATAAAAATTTCGTTTACAAAATATTGAACATTAAATTTTCTTCCCAGGTTACCTTGGAAAGTAATCTGCAGGAGCAACTGTATACTCAGCGGAAGAATATGTGCCATGCATTCGAATATAATTTCTTTTGTGCATTTATATAACAAGATGAAAACGATGCATAACTTATATGTGAAATCACTCTTTAGTTCGCAAGTCCTCAGTTCAAGAAGTAGAGTCTATTTGTATTCACAAAACATTCCATGGGGGATTCCTTTTTCATGCACAGTGATGTGTGAGGTCATGTTCTTAAACTGGCCAATCAGGTGAAATCATTAGTCTAAATCAAGGTTTCACGTTCTCGGTGAAATTGAGGAGCTGGAAGTTAAAAGAAAAATAATGATAAGTTTACTTTTTAAAGTAAAATATAAATAACACTGAACTAAGATAAAAGAATGCAAATTGTTAATAGTACAATGTTTTTGATAGTACTTAAAAATAGCTATACCTGTAATAAACAGAACTCTTTACATTTGTTCATTATGGCCGTATGAAACTGCTAACAAGAACTGTTAAATATTTATGTTCAAATTGAAGACATTCTCAGTTCGATGATCCTTACCCCTTCGTCTCCAGACGCAAATTATTTTCAGGCTTTAATGCCCGACCATTTTTTGATAAGACGTCCGATAAAAGCAATTCCAGAGGCAGAATTCTTAGACAAGCCAAATAATAGGTTAACGCATTAGTAGAAAAGAATAATAATTGTCCAACAAGTATGGAAATGATAGCACCGTGAATTACCTTAACCAACTATAAGAAACGTTATCTTTAGACAATTTTCTAAAGATAACGTTGCTCCTGACGCTTTTGCATCTTTGAAGGAAGAAAATTTATCTTCCTGCAAATGGCATCCCTATCGAATAGAAGTAATATTTACACATGATGGTAAAATTGGTGTGATGATCATAATAACGGCCTTTAAAAGATGTATTTAAAACATTTGTAAATTGCCTGCCAGTGAGACACTGCTGCAGTGAGACTTTTATGCAATCTGAAGTTTATAATAATTATTTATCAGCTCCAATGATATTGTTGTAAATGTTTGTTATACTGTTTTTCTAATGTATTTCTTTTGAGGAAGTTATCTGATACATTTCACTGTCAGGCGGGATGTCGGAGATGTTACACTGCTTATTTTTTAAAAAAAATATTGTCTTTCCGAAATTGGCAACGACAGTATAAATTCTAAAGATGTAACGGTCATTTATGTTTTATTATTATTCAAGTAGGTTTAGTCATCATCTGCATTGTAACTAGAATTCTTTTTAAATAAATTAGTTGTCAGTTTCTTTTGCTATCAGTAGAATTGTATTCCTCTTAATTTGTAACAGTGTCAGTAATGGAGAATAAACATATTCTTCATTGGCAAAATAACTTTTTATACCCTTCAACACAATTTAAAATGTATTGAATCAAAAGCGTAATTAATTTCGTAGGGAAAGTACACAAAGCGTTAACGACCGTGAAATAAAAAAATTCGAACAAAATACCACCTGCGGCGATATTTCAGCGACCAGATTTCAGTTACGCCTGGCAAACCACCTGTCGAGAGAGGGTACACAATTGATATTTATGACAACAGATGGCGCTCACTGTACTTTGGTTCAATCTTGAGCGATGTGAGATGAATTTCTACACAGATCAAAATTTTAATTTACTACTAACAAATTTATATAATATCTATTATATTTTATATAATAATTATATTTTATAAAATAATTTATACAAATTTATATAATAATATATTCTTTCAGAAGTTGTTGTATTTCCTAAAATTCCGGAATAAACTGTGCAAAGTTGCAAAAATCTTGATAATTACTGCATCTTCCGCTAATTTCAAAACAATTCAGTAGCCAACTATCAGATACAAGAATATATTGCGTCAACTCATAAATAATGCCATTTTTTTCACTTGAACTACGTGTCAGAGGGAAACGTAAGAAACTGCCTACATCGATTTGCTATAAAAGCAGGTAGTAATTTTACCTTGTTAGTCTTAGTGCAAGTATTTTTAATGCAGTTCAATTTTAACAATTATTTTTTAAAGCTAAATGGAAGTGTCAATGGAGTATATTCGTCATACTATATATAATGTATACTGCATTATGGGTTCATTTAAAAAATATTATTACGAATATTTATATAATGTTTGGGAGATCGAACAATAAGCGTAAGCCAATGTCAGCTGTATTTTAAGAAATTCCGAATCGGAAATTACAACGTAGAAGACGAACCTCTTCCTGTAAAATCTGTAAAGCTCGACGTCCTACAGACGCCCGGGTGAAACAATATTCCAACCTAACGTTTAAGAACTACCACAGAATGAAGGAGAGTATATTTTAAATTAATAAGTACGTTGTTTATCTTAATTTTGAAAAATAAAAGAAGTATAAAAAATAAAATTAAAGTCTTATAAAGGATGAGATTTTTAACGTGTCGCAACAGGGAGTTTGTTAAGGTTTTCTAACCTCTGGTTGAGCTCTCAGTTTATCTAACTGCTCTTGGACTCACTCCTGCTCACTAAACGTGTATTTAAAATTTATTAGTAAATATCACTTTATTCGTCAAATGAAATTTAACAAAAGAATCACAGAAGTTTTTAAAGCAGCATATTCGCTAGAATTTTCGATAGAGTGGTAAAGTGTTGCCACACATTTTTTATTTCCTTCAGTCTTCTCTATTTAAAAACAGTACATCTTTAGAATCTCAGATAAAGTGTTAAATGTTTCCGTACATTTTTATTAGTCCAAAAGGGCTTTGTCTCTGAAGGACAATTGTTTTCGTTTTGCGATTTTGCGTTGGTTCACTATAAATGTCCATTTCTTTTCAAACTGTTGCCACCAAATGTTAGAGTACTGCATTATATTTGAAGAAATTAAATAATGAAAAATCTGCATAAATGTAGGTATATTTCTCGCATTGTGATAAAACAACGGTACATAGAGCCATCGAATTTTGAATGACGTAATGCTCCTACGAATATGGGCATGTGGAAGACCAAATTTGAAATTTGGAAATTGTATTATTATCGATTTCATATTTTGTAAAACTTTAACGAATTTTTGATTAACAAACTCAAGGATTTCAAAGGGAGCAATGGCAACACTCTACGGGAGGGGGGGGGGACAACCTTTTTATCTTCAGCGCGCAGAACTGTGTATCGGATATTCTAAAAGTATGCTCATTTTAAAATTATTTTGCGACATTGCTATTGAACTGAATTTTATGGTTTAAGTGCAAAGAACATGATATTTAATAAATAAAGGTAACACACAAAACGTTAAAAAAAAACGCCCCTTTGGACGTAATTTAAAATTTGAAACCTTTCGGATTTTTTTTTATGTTAGTTTTATCATTTCTTTAAAAGTAATAGCGGTAATATTGGGTGGCAACATCCTTTTATTTGCATTGCCATATTTTTTTTATATTCTCTGAATTGTTTTTCTAAAAATAATACATCGCGATAACATTTGGTGTCAACATTTGAAAAGTGATATGGAAGGAAATAAGGTGAAGTTCGAGACTGATCATACCTCTGTTGCTAAAAAGCCACATTATTTATAGAATGACACAATAAATCATATTCTACTCACGATATTTTCATTCTACGATGGTATTAGACGATATTCCACCATAAGCCGAGAAGAACATATGTAACCACTTAAAAAATAATCAGCTGATAATATTCTAAACCACAAATGAATCGTCAAGAAAAGGGGCACTTTTTCATACTTACCACTGAGCTTTTTCTGGTTTCGTGCAAGTTAGCGATGCAAGGTCGAATAGCTGTCCAGTCGGGCACTTTAGTAGAGATGGCTTGTATTCTCTGCATAACCAGAAACGACTGCAATCTAAGGCATATGCGTAGAGGCCCCGAGGATGAGGGCAACGAAACGTAGCTTCTAAAAATAAAACAAATAATATTCTAAGGCGCTTATTAAACTATTTAACGGAAATGGTATTTATTAGAATAATATGATATTTAATATGTGAAACGTAATAAATTCATTGTTGTTGTCTAACCTAGCTTGTTTGATGTCAGAAAATGCCCACGAAATTCATCAGGCAAGGAGACAACATTACGTCAGTCGTTGGCAAGAGCCTTGGGTAGGTAACAAAGCAACTTCTTCAGTTAGGTCAAGATCAGCAATGAGTTTTAAATTTTTGTTTTTGTTTTATAGCTGCTATGAATGTATTCAGAGTGATGTTCGTAAATTTATTGGTGTAAATGTTTTTGAAATTTTGCAGTATCTCGATTCCGCATTGCTAGGCCCATGGCGGATGCATAATAATTTCTTTTATTTAACAAACTCTGAAAGAATTTAGATTTTAACAGAGCCTCCCCCCAAAAAAAAGGCTCTTCTAAAGTTTAATATGGTTTATCAGTTAGAGACTCTCAATAGAAATGGTACAGGTGGAAAGCGAAACGTTTTACAGGACACTAGGATGAACATGTATACTAGCATGAGAATTTATATATATTCTGTATATTTGAAAATTGAAAGAGCGTAGAACGTCATTCTATAAAAATATTTAGTGTTTTTAATTAGAAATATCACGAATTCAGTGCAATTTTATTTAAATGAATCAGATTAAATAAATTAATCTTAAAAAAAGTAATCTTAAGAATCGTCTATTGCTTTTAAGTAGCTTTGTTTGTTAATCAATGACAGACAGATTCAATTTAAAGGATAAATATCTTACGATTTGCCTAATGGAAACAGACTCGGTGCTACTTTGGTAGATGGTTGCACGGATTTTTGGCGATTTACGTTGGCGCAATTGTTGGCGTGGTTTTTACAAACGTCAGCCATCTTGAAAAACGCTGTTTTTACGTATTTTATGCCATAGTAAAGTATACGAAACTTTAAAAAAATAAATACTGTTAAAAATACTGGATTAATTTTTTGTTGAAAATGTCATTTTTTAAGATGGCAGACAAATGTAAATAAATACATTTATTATGAGTATAAAATACTAAAGGGTATTATTACTTTCATATAGCAAAGAAATAGAATAAAAACCCCGCTATAAAAACATTGCGCCAACGTTTAATTGGTTAAAAATATTACTTATATTGAATATCGAATTAAAAATATCATACCAACTTTTAAAAGAATTAAAATATTACTTGAACTCAAATCCTTTAAAATAAGTTTTATAAGATATAATTATTTAACATTAAAACATATGTGGCAATAAATATCTCGGCAAATAACTAAAGGCTATTATTACTTTCATATAGCAAAGAAATAGAATAAAATCCCCGCTATAAAAACATTGCGCCAACGTTTAATTGGTTAAAAATATTACTTATATTGAATATTGAATTAAAAATATCATACCAACTTTTAAAAGAATTAAAATATTACTTGAACTCAAATCTTTTAAAATAAGCTTTATAAGATATAATTATTTAACATTAAAACATATGTGGCAATAAATATCTCGGCAATTTTTGAAAACAGTGTATTAATTTTTTTAATACAATTAAAGTAAAAGAAAAATATGTACTTACATTTTTTTTTAGTATTTAACCTGTCATATATATATTGATAAAATCGGAATCATAACTTAGATATCAATGAAAAAAATTTGAAAAATGTAACATAATTTAAAAAATGTAATGTAAGGAAAAAAAATTTGAAAAATGTAATCTAAGGAATTCGGAGAGATGAATAATAAAATTTTAAAATGGCGCGGTAATGCACAAATATTCAGTAACCAAACAGAGTTACAGCTCGTTAACGCACAAATATTCTGTAACGAATCAGGGAGCTGATTACATCCCGAATAGAATTAAAATTATTTAAATAATAATACATATTAAAATCATTTTTTAATGCAAAATTAAATTGTATTTTAATATTTAATAGCCATAAATAATGTTTAAAACATTAGATTAAATTTATAGATATTAAAACCAATTACTTTTAAAGTTATGTGAAGTCGTTCATTACGTCATCCACAACATAAAATTACATAAAATATCATAAACAATAAAATTTTTATTTCAAATAAAAATACAGAATTAAATTAATTTTTAATATTTAGAAGCCATAAATAATATTTAAAACACTGAATTTATGAATAATAAAACGCATTATTTAAAAAATATAATGACAACAATGTATCGGTTACCATAAATAACTTGTCTAGCAATGAGTTTAGCATAAGTCGTATTGCTCGCCAAAAAAAAATCGCCAAAATCCGTGCAACCGTCTACCAAAGTAGCACCATAGACTCGAATGAAAAGGGAGACAAAAAATGTTTCGAGATTAATTAAACCTTTTGGGCTAAAAATTCCAACTATGTTTACCTGAAAGGTACTTGAGAAAGTTTACAAGAAATTATTTTGTTGGAGTTAAATGCAAAACTGAAACACGAATAAAAAGTGCTATAACTTTTTTTTCTTTTTTTGCTGTGTAGGTAAGCAATGAGATTAACAAGAGACCAGACACAGAAGATGAATAATAATTATCGTAAAAGAATGCATATTTTTAAACAATGCCATTTTATGATTCAAAATGATGAAAAAAAAAAGAATTTTTTAGAGGATATTCCTCTCACGTTTTGTGAAATTACTTTTTAATTGTTTTCCATATTCTTACAACAGAAGGAAAACATTAGAAAAAGATCTCACAACAACAATTATCAATACAAGCAAGCTATTTCGGGACTTCCAGCGAGGAATAATAGCTCTTCAGATGTCAAAATCTCATTTTTATTTTCCGTCAAATTAAGTATCTGATATCAGTCACTGAAGCTTGAATTGAAGACTTTTCCAAAGGATGTCAGATTACCTAACAGGTGAAATTGTATGCAAAAGGCAAAATGTATAGTAATCATTCGGAAGATAAATATTAATTTTATAGATGAATAGGAAGAAGAAATAATTATGTAAAAGAAAGCAACAATAATGGCTTACCTGGAGAAATGGGTCTCTCGTACTGGCGCTCCTGACCTGAAACGTCAAAAGAAATGAATTAATGTACATTTTGGGATAAAAGAATTTGTATAGATAAAGATAATAATTTTACACTCTGCCATCCTTAGATTTTATTTTTCTTAAATAATTATGTCTTCCAATTTACAACACATCGTTCGTCTGTAAAAATAAAAAACGTAAAAAATATTTAGTTTCGCTTTATTTTTCTTATTAAAGCCCTTTTGTTTTCTTTCGTTGTTTTTTTACAATACGTTTTTTAAAAGAATTTCTGATAGATCACATTTGATTAATTTAATGAACGGACTGGTGGAAAATATCTGACAATTGTGAGAGAAAGCAGGATTACTATCTCCGCCTTTTTTCAAAACCCTCTCATGTCCCACCAGCGGCCGAGCGGTAAAGTCGTTGAACACTGGTAGTTCGGTCCGAGTTTCGAATCTCGCGAAAAGGCATGGCTTCATGGCGCTTTCGTGGATTTCACTATGTGTAACGTGTTATACGAGCCACTTTCCCTTAAAATGTCCTCCTCGAAGGTATCCTTTCTCTTAGGCAGATAGCCCTCGAAGCTTTACGTTAATCACATAATCAAAAACCTCTATAAAATTTCTCGATTTTTCTTTTTTCTCTTAAAATTAGGGGAAAAAAACAATTTTATATTACCACAGATTATGAATAAAATCCTAGCTACTTTGAGGATGATTTTTTTTTTCATTTATCTGTAAAAGTTCTTATAAATAAGATTTTAAATTTAACGAATTCTTGGGAAGTTATAGCATGTATTAATTCGTGGGAAATGATCTCAAAACCTCTCATTAGTGGTTTCCAGAAACCAACAGGACTGGGACAAGAAGTTGCCACTGTTTCTACTGGCGTACAGAAAGCCGTCCACGAAACTATCGGCTATTCTCCATCTCAGATGCTCTTCGGTTGTGACCTTCGTCTGCCTTGTGATCTTTTATTTGGTCGCCCTCCGGATGCGCCTTCATCGCCTGAGGAATGCATCCAAGATCTCCAGGCTCGGTTTGAAGTAATGCACAATTTATACACGAGCGGGAGTCAACTTGGCGACGGAGAAGGTGAAGACTCGATACGACACAAAAGCGGACGAATCAATTCAACGAAGGAGACAAGGTGTGGTTGTGGAATGACTCTACGGAAAGGACTCTGTCCGAAACTACAGTCATGTTGGGCTGGTCCATACACAGTCCTAAACAGGCTGAACAATGTCATAGTTCGGATCTGTAAGTCATCGAACTCTAAGCCGAAAGTCGTTCATTACGATAGGTTAGCTCCTTACTATGGCCATAGTACGAAGTGTATATAATTGTAAATAGTATAAGTTCATGGTCCTTTTTGTTTCTAAATTTGATTTGATTTGCATTCAGTATTTGATAGTATATGAATTGATTTAAGTTACTTACTGTAATTACTGTTTAAGTTTTTTGTTATTGTAATGTAAGGTTTGTTATTGCATTTTTTGTCCTAATTGTAAGTTTGGCCACCTGTCCAGGGATTGTACTGCCCGGGAAGTGCAGTCCTTGGGAAGGGGGCAGTGTTACGGATTTTGCACATATTTAGCTATTTATTTAGTAGAATTTGTAATTAAAATTGTTTTATATTCCCGTGCAATACAGCACGAGACTTATCTGAAGAGAAAGCTACGCCGGAAAAATTAAAATACAGGAGTACGTGCGCTTAACGTTTTAATAAATTGATATCTCTTAATTGTACTCTTTTGCTATCCAGAAAAACCGAGAAAATACGAGAATGTTCTCGTGCAGGTTAAAAAAGCTTATAAAAGCCGAAGAAAAACATCTCAATTCAGTTGTTTTATGAGCTGTTTGCTTAGTTCTTGCTGTTGATTGTAGCGAGTTCACTGTGAGATCGGATTAGCTTTCTCTGTTTTGAATTGAGTTCTCTTCAACGTTTTAGTGGTTTAAAATATAACTACTGTGAGATATTGCGATATTGTACGAAGATCTCCGAGGAAATTGCAACATTTTGTTTTATTTGTTGTGATAAATGTAAATTTTATTCACTTTTCATCGGACTCGTACATTCAATTTCTTACGAACCCGTACGCCCGCAAAAATATATACAAGCTGGTTTTCCTTACAAAGTTCTCAGCGAAGACATCCTTCCTTTTAGGCAGATAGCCCTCAAGTGCTTTTCATAATTAAATAAACCCAATCAGTCTTTTTATAAGGGTATAAATACTCGTGAAAGATTTGTCACATGGTAATTTATGTGCTTCCTAAAAGTCAGTATTTCTCATCTAAATTTATACCAAGGTATGCGGTGGAAATGTAAGTTGACTTAACTTTGTCTCGCTCTTTTCACATGTTAAAATTATTTATATACAAATCACAGGCAACTTTTATTTATTTACATATTTGTTTTTACAGTTATGTTTCAAAATTATTGTTTTTGAATCAGTTATATAAGTCAAAACTGTTTAATTTACGAAATGAAGCCGTTGGAAGTTAGTAATTTTTTATTCATCAGCAAGTTATCTTTTTTTTTAATAAATACGATAGAAGTTGATTATTATCGTATGAATAGATTACGAAATGTATTTTAAAAGCTTTGCCTTAAATTGTCTGATAAGTGCCATTAGCAACATAATAACAGACAGGAAATTCTGTCTTGCAGGTTCAGTTAAAGCAAAAATAAGAGCCGTGTGAGCCGTTAAAAAGAAAAAAAAAGAGTAATTTAATGAAAAATAAATATTTAATCAGTCCAAAGCAGAGTTTTATTAAACTATCCTTTTTGCCGTTGTTTTATTACGTAGACAAATACACGTTTTACAATGAAAACAATTACTTTAAAATATTGTTTTATTATGTAAAGACAGATACATGTTTTGCAGTGAAATCAATGGATGTTTCGCAAAGTTGTTTTGGGATATTGTATGCTTGAGTTGATGATAAGGTAGGCTTCAAATGATGCTTCAAGTATCTACGTTGTTTTTTAGATCACATCAATTTTCCCACCATACCGAAAGATTTATTTGGAAACTGGTAAGTCCCAAATACGGAAACATAAAACATAACAATTAACATATCAGGTTCTATGTTTCTCCTTACTTGCTTGGGGAACATTCAATGACCTGACTCGGAACAGGGAGCTTACTAAAGCTATGTTCAATAAATGTGGGAAGTAGACAAGATACACAGGAAGGGTATACGAAACCCTTTATTTTTCTCTCTTTACAATGATTTCCGGACTGCGGAATACAGAGACCAACCACTTGTGATCTGAACGTAAGAATATAAAAATATTAACTAAATTCTAACTAAACTAACTTTGGATTAATAAAGAAGGGTCTACTTGAAGATTGGCCGTATATTAACAGAAAGGCCGTATGTAGTACAGAGAACTGTTAACATTACGATACGTTTAAAATTATCAAGAGGATTAAACCTCTGGCCTTGAAGGCAACCAGCAACCGAGTAAAACTGCTAAGGCAAGCGGCCTGCTTCTACTAACTCCTTCCTCTCTCTCTTGCTTGGCAAAAAGCCACAACTTAAGTACTTGGCGTTCGCAAGAGAAATTTGCATAAATAAGTTAAAAGCTTTTAATTCTGGCCGGAAGTAGAAAATAAGAAGTGATAGTAAAGATTTAAAATAAAATAAACGTTAGTAAAACTTAAGATCCTTACAAACAAACAGTCGGTTTAAAACAATATTAGCTACACAATTAATTAAAAAAAATTTTGAAGACCATCTCAAGTGAATTTTACTTATCAAAGATATTAAGAGTTTTATTACTTATCAAAGATATTAAGATATTATTTTTGTTGTTTGACTTCTGAATTAGTATTTATTCGGCGTGTTATTGTGTCTTAATATTAAGAGCATTTTACAAAAGGACCTGTGAAAAAAGGAAGTTTATATTCAGCAATTTTTAATACTAAATAGGAGTACTTCCGTAATTTCCTGTAGACCGTTTTTGGCAAATAAAAACTGTCAGCAAAAGTCATTCTCAAAATTCTTGGCGTAATTGATAGTCAAAAGTATTTTAAATTTAAAATACTGTATTAAAATAAGATTGCTTAAAACATATTTGAAGTTTGTTTTCAAGTCCGATTTTCCTTTGAACACTAAAGGAATATTCGTAATACATGATGCAAAAACTCCAATTAAATATTTTCTCTTTCTTTGATGGAATCTGACGATATTTAAGGGTCTGGCATTAAAAGCCAACTAATTTTAGAAGAAGTTAATTATTATATTTTGGAAATACATATATTTCTGTTGTAGAAAGAAATATATGTAAAGATTTTGCCATTTTTACGATTTTGATATTTCAACTTACACCATGCATTATACTTTTTTTTGTGACTGAATAAGAGTACCAGCTTTTGAATGAATCCTAATGCATAGAAAAAAATGTAAAAAAAGAATATATGTACAGTTTCCTCACATATTCAACCGTCACATTACAACATTAAATAATTAACACAGTAATCATCCGAAAAGTAGTTGCACTATTCAAAACATACCAGTTGCGGATATATCTTTGTCTACAATGCCAGTGAGTCCAGCATGAGTTCCGCTGGAGCCTGAAGAATGACTCCCTGTTTCAACTTCTGATCCATTTCTGGAGCCACTTCCAACTCTTCGTCCACCGCTACTACTGGACCCACTACCACCTGCTGCAGAAGTAGATCCACTTCCTCCTCGACTTCCAGCTCCAGTGCCACTTGATGGACGACTTCCTACTCCAGTACCGCTTCCAGCTGTACCACCAGCTTGACTTCCACTGCTGCCTACGGTACGACTTCCGCTTTCACTTCCGGTACGAGTTCCACTTCCAACAGTTCGACCTGTAGTGCCACTTCCCATTCCTCCTCTCACTGGGCCACTGACTGGACCAACTCTTCGAGTACCTTTGATGGGAGGTGGTGACTGAGGACCGGAAGCAGATCCTGAAGCGGAAGCAGATCCTTGATTGGGAGATCGTCTGTCCCAGCCTGTGATTGAACAATGTCCTCTTAGAGGTAATCAGTATCTTGGTGCAAAAGTGCAAGTGCAGAAGTGCTAATCCATTTTTTTCTGCAGTGCCAATAATAAAGTGCCACATATAGATCAAATTTACCAACCATTTTTTTATAAATAATACATTTTGGTGCAGTGATGTAGATTTTTAAAAGAAGCACATGTAACAATATCATATTAGCAAATTCGTCTAAACTTTCAAGCGCGTAAATATATTTGCAACTCAAATCCTTACCACTTTCCAAGCTGCAGATCCACTGAAATAATAGCAGTTTTGTAGCTTTCCGAGAACGCTTTGAAAGAGTCTTAATTCTTGAAAGGACTTCAAATAGTGAAGAATACGAAATACGAGATATATTATGTGTTATTCGATGAAAGTCATTTTGGTATTCAGGCTTTTATGAAAGCGTCACGAGAATGCAAAAGAATGAGTAATTTTATTCAAGTTTACAAATAATAATAATAGTCTATGTACCGTATATTACACTACTGCACCGAATTTTGCTTCTTGAACTTTACAACCTTCACACGAAAAATTAGTTACGACAGACTTTCAAAGCAATAATTATTAAGCCTCAGTTTGAAAAAAAGTTATCATAATTTTGGTTCAAGAACTTTAAGGAGAAAGTTATGATATTGAACTAACAGGTAAAGTCACCGAGAAAATAACACACATTTGAATCTACAAAAGAATGACAAGCACAATAAGGAAATATGTTGAATGAACAGAAAATCTGTGGAAGAGAATATATTTGCGGTATTGTTTCACATTATTTAAGCTTGAAGTATAGAACATTGTACTTTTTTCATCTCTTAGGGTTTCGAATGAAATTTTCTAGCCATAAAGCATTTCGACTTTATTCTATTGCACAGAGTGCGCATACGTTTCCTTGCTGTTGTCTGCTTTGTTTTTAACTTTCTTAAAATGTAGATAAAACATTCGTACTGAAATGATTTAATCACTGTCATTGTTCTGTTTATAATCTATATAAACATAATCGCTCTTTCCGCTTAGAGATGTCAGTAGATTTTTTTTCTTTTTCTACTTCTTTTCTTTTTATTTCATTTTATTTATATGTTGTGCGGAGTAGATAACTAAACTGACTTTGGCACACTTCACCATCTGACTGGACCCTAGAACAAAGAATTCTAGCAAAAATAGTATACAGTGTACATTTCCAACTGGCTTATTCACATCTATGTCACTTTAGTCACACCTCATCCTTTGAACATAACATTGATCCGACTAAGAACTTTGGAATAAGAATAGTAGATTAGTTTATAAAAAAAGGACTATGATGGCCACTAACTTTGTGATTCCAATCGGCTTCCTTCGTGTGGGCGTCCACTTTTCACTGTTTCGTAAGACTGTTTTTTGGATGCCTGAAAATATCTTCTTTTCTTCTCCTCTTTCGCTATTTACTCCTTAGAGGATTACACTAGCTTCGACGCCATTAGGACATCTTTAGGACATTCTTTGTTGGAATGAGTAACGGCTCAACTAAGCCATGCACTTGAATAACATCTAACAAAAGCGTAATTCATAACTCATAATTGGCTTTTTAACTTATCCCAATTATGTAAGGTTAAATGAGTGTATTCATTTCTGTATATAATGCATATTCAGACAGAATGGTAGAATGTATTTTTAAAGAGGGTAATATATTACACGTTTATTCTCAAATAATAAAAACTTAATTTTTTGGAGCCATGCCTAACTGTGTATATATTCGAATTTTATTTTGTTTTCCAGTTTAAATCTAGAAAACAATATAAAACTAGGCTATATTTTACATTTATTTCCATTTTGATTGCTATAAAACATTTGCTTTTACGTAATATATTACATTTTTCTACAAGCATTCAAATTTGCAAAACATGAAAATACAAAAACGTGTCTATAAGTTTTGGCCACCATTTGTATAATGGCGCGCTAGCGGCATCATTAATTTCTTTATGTCTTTCCAATTTGTTCTCTTCCCAATAAAAATAATTTACACGACTTTGTGAAAGGAATATGATGTTATAAAACTTTAAGCATAACTAAAAATCAGAATAAAATTGCTCTAATCTGGTCATTAAAAGCGTAATTGATTCTTTTCCCTCTGACTCTGTCCGGGAAGAAGATTGAGGAATCATTTGATCGATATCTCTTGGCTTACAGCTGTTTGATCTCAATTTCGGGGAAAAGCAGATTATAGAGTCTCATAAAGACAAACGCTTAAACAACGTTGTAAGTTTTATGATCCTTTATTTAAGAACGAAAAAGCACATCGTAAATTTTTAACACACCTACTTTTCAACAAGAAGAAATACTTTTACGCTCTCTGTAGCTCAAGTAACCTACACACTGAGCTCTTCTAAATCCTGATTTATTCGCTTAAAAGCTTAACAACGTGTTGTAAATGTTCAGACAAATTCTTATGAGGCTTCCAATACCTCTCTTAGGTGTATTATATGAGCTTAGCGAAGAAAGGAAGAAAAAAAAGATCCCCAGCATCGTCAAAATTTATGCTTCATTTATTTAAATTCAGAAGGATTTGTAAACTTGCTGGCAGAAGAGGTGTGGCTGGAAGAAGGAAATGAAAACAAGCTCAAATAAAAGAAGCTGCAGCTGTTTTTCGTTCACTTGACTTTCCTCATAAAGACATCAAAACAGCGTATAAAATTTAAAGAAAATTTTTTATGTGTAAAGAGAATGCACAATGGATTTATTTATGTTGTTATAAGTTAAAAGAGTTTTTTTTTTAAATCCGTGAGATACTATTTTTTTTCTCTTGATGAACTTTATGTCATTTCGTTTTCACAGGCAGGTGCTTCTCTACTTACGATGAACTTAAGAAACAGATGAATTTAATAAACTACCAACTTACTGAGTGCCACAATTTTGCTTACCTTAAACGTGCTCAAGAATGCTGAGAAAATTTACATTTGGCTTCAATTGTGAATATTCGTTTAACATAAAGCCCCTGTTATAGTAAGATGTTGAATAGTTATTTCATTTTTGATTTAATTAATTTTCCAGGTTTATCCGAATATAGCTCTGGAGGCATTTATAGAGACTTATTATAAAATTTCTGATACCTTTCTGCAAATCGGCCGCTGTTCGGAAAGGCAGAAAAGCCGTGTTTCCGAATGAAAATTCCAGCACCTAAATCAATTTCTAACTTGAAAAAGCAATCTAGCTAGGAAGGCAGTATCTTTATTTCGGAGCAACTTTACGTATGTAGGATTTAAATTTGATTAAAAATAAATTAACGGTTTATTTACATAGCGGTACCCCGGAATAAAAGTGCCCACAGTTTTAGGAAGGTTACGTTTTTCCAGATTAGAAACTCATCTGTATAAGGTGAAGGCAACTTAAGGTTAAGATACAACTGAGAAAGAGTCTATCTTTTCCGAAAGTGGCCTATGTGCATAAAAGTTCCAGCACATGGCAAGGCGTCTTGGACTTATGATGCTCGTAATTAAGCACGATGCGGGAGTGTGTATATTTTAAAACAATTGGCTTTTTTTTTATTTAATTTAGAAATATTTGTATTTGATGGAATACAAATAAAAATTGATATATTCTTTTGGAAACACTCTGGGTAATGTAATTAGTTAACTATTTTAATACTAACTGCACTTACGTAAATATTAATGGATACAAACTAAAGCTCATGTATTCTTTTGGAAGCATTCTGTATAATGTAATTAGTTAATTACTTTAATACTAATTTCATTTACGCAAGCCTATTTTCATAGAGCATGAGTTAGGATGATGAAGTATTTATCGAAAGGCAGATTATTTCTATTGCTTTATAGAAATACAAATTGCTATTACTTTAACTCGTATAATACGTTTTACTAATGGCTAACTAAATTACTACAATTATTCAGAATATTTAACTAAAAATACACAAATTCTTATAACAGAAAATTTGATATATATTTTACAACAGTAAAGCTTCTTTTCTTCATACGAGAAAAGGAGCTACCATAGCTTCTTTTCCTCGTATTAATTTAATGTTATTTAAAATTACATTAATTTTTCTGTTGATGGGAAAAATGTTGAGGTTGAGACATTGAATTAAATGCATTATGGTTTCTACATATACTACTTTTGAAACAGATATTTTACCATAATTAAAGCTTCTTTTCTCCGTATGCGAATAACAGCTGTAGGAAGCATCTTTTCTCGTAACAGTCTAAAGTTATTAAAAACTACGTTCATTTTTCTGTTGATGGGAAAAAAACTGATGACGATAAGACATTGAATTAAATGCATTATTGACATATACTACTTTTGAAAACCTTTATTCGCAGAAAATGACCATGTTTCAGAAGAGTATATTTAATAATCATTATATAAAAACGATATATTCATAATTTCCTATTTCAAAGCAACAAATTAATTCAGAATTTCGAGGGAAAAAAAAAAAAAAAAAAAAAAAAAAAAAAAAAACCTGCCTTTAACCCTTTGACTACGAATTAAAAATTTCTTATTTTCCCCCTTTTATATTCAAGTGAACAAAATATGTCATAAATAAGGTCAATTTAACATGTGGGATTTCTTTGACAAACGGTTTTCAAACCAAAGGTTGGGACACGTATGTCTCAGCTCTAATTAATGGTGGGATACGTATGTCCCACTCGTAGCGATCGACTTACTATAAGCCCACCCATTATTCTGGAAAACTTTATTATATGAAATAGATTTACATCGTATGGTACCGGGTAAAAAGCATTCTTTGCATAACCCAACATTACACATTGAGCAACTGCTATTTGTTCTTTTCTCTATGTTCATTAGTGTACAACGAACACAGCGACGTCTGGATTTTCCAACTATTGAAAGATGATCTCCAACGTTCAGGAGATTCGAAGTCATTTTCAAATCAGCAGTAATTTCTAAACTTTTAGTGGGATATCTATGTCCCTTTAGTAAACAAAGGGTTAAACAATCAAATGCCCTTTTATCATGTTATATTTC